CCCCCAGCCGGGCTTTGACCACCCCCAGGGCATCCACTACCTCCCTGGGCAACCCGTTCCAGTGTCTCACCATCCTCACAGGAAAAATCTTTTTCCTACTACCTAGCCTAAATTTCTCCTCCTTCACTTTGAATCTGTTACCCTTTGTCCAATCACTGCACTTCCTAATAAAGAGCCCCTGTCTGGCTCCCCTGTAGCCTCTTCAGAAAGGCTACTCTGAGGTCTCCATGCACCCTTCTCTTCTCCAGGCTGAACAGCCCCAACTCCCTCAGCCTGTCTTCACAGAGATACTCCAGTCCTCTTAATCAACTTTGTGGCCTCCTCTGGACTTGCTCCAACAGTTCCATGTCCTTCTTATGTTGAGGACACCAGAACTGTGTGCAGCATTCCAGGTAGGTCTCATGAGAGCAGAGTAGAGGGGAAGAATCACCTCTTTTGACCTGCTGGTCACATTCCTTTGGATGCAGCCCAGGATTCCATTGGCTTTCTGGGCTGCTAGTGCACACTGCCTGCTCATGGTGAGCTTCTCATCCACTGTCACTCCCAAGTCTTTTTCCTCACTGCTGGTCTCAATTACTTCCCCACCCAACCTGTAGGTGTGCCTGGGATTGCTTTGACCTAGATGTAGGACCTTGCACTTCATTTTGTTAAATTCCATGAGGTTTGCATTGTTCCACCTCTCAAGCCTGTCAAGGTCCCTCTGGATGGCACATCCCTTCCCTCCAGCTGTGACTGCCCCACACAGCTTGGTGTCATCAGTGAACTTGCTGATGGTGCTCTCAATCCCACTGTCCATGTTGCTGACAAAGATGTCAGCAAAGACCCTTGAGGGACACCAATCCTCACTAGCCTCCACATGGACAATGAGCTGCTGACCACAACTCTCGGCATGCGACTGTCCAGCCAGCTCTTTATCCACCAAGTGGTCCATCCATCAAATCCATGTCTGTCCAATTTAGAGCAAGGATGTCATGTGAGACAGTGTCAAATGCTTTCCGTAAGTCCAAGTAGATGATATCAGTTGCTCTGCTCTTATCCACCAATTCTGTGGCTCCATTGTAGAAGGCCACCAAATTCATCAGGCGTGACTTGTCCCTGGTAAAGCCATGCTGATTATTACCAATCACCTCTTTACTTTTCATGTGCCTAAGCATAGCTTCCAGGAGATTCTGCTCAATGATCTTGCCAGGCACAGAGGTAAGACTGACTGGTCTATAGTTCCCTGGTTCTTCTGTTTTCCCTGTTTTGGAAATGGGAGTTATGTTTCCCTTTTTCCAGTCATTAGACTTCACTTGACTGCCACAATTTCTCAAAATTTACAGACAGTGGCTTACCAACTAATTCAGCACGAGCAACTGATTCCCATCTCCAGCTGTTGCTCCTAATCTCAATTAACTTCTCTAGATTTTCAAAGGAGCATCTTTGTGCTCTCATACCGCTTCTTATATCTCAAGCAAGCTCCCCCCAAATACTTCCAAAGCTTTTCAAAATTTCTTTCAAATACTATCTTATTAATAAAAAAATCAACCCCAGACCCCTAAGCAGATGCAACCTGTACGTCAGACTAGCTGGTCATCTTCCACTGCTTCCTCGTATTCCTCTTTTTGTAACTACATTACAAATGCTTTGGGAGACACTGTCTTTTAGCTTCTAAACTATATTGAACAAATGAAGTCCTGATCCATTACTGAGACCACAAAGCACAATGATTAAAGAAATGAAAGGCCTGTAAGCGATTGGTGAGGGGTTATAGCTGCCCATACAGTTAAAAACTTAAAATGACTTTTATACTCAAGTGACCCAATTTCACAGGTAAAACCATTTTGCAGAAGAGCCAAGTCCAAGCACACTATCTTAAGGACATTTCAAAGACCCAAAAGTGTGTTCAGGCCTACCAACTTTCAAGCAGACAGGAAGAAGAATGTAATGAATACACCCACATCAGAGGGCTTCCAGTTGTCAAGATACTCACCTAGATTTTTCTTCTTCTGGTCTCTCTGCTTCATTTTCATCTACCGTAAAGAAAAGAAACACACCATTTCAGAATAAAATCCCCTGAATATCAACCGTGAGAGGTAGCTCGTCATGCTGAATATTCGGCAACTGGTCAGATTACCGTTGAGACATGTTCTTAAAGGTGAAATCAGGCGAGCAAACCCCCCCCCCGAGTCTCGCAGTGCTCTGCACTGACAGGTCCGCCACATGGGCAAGGTTTGCTTTACAGGCTTCACTGCGACTCGAACGTAAAGGAAGTCGCTAAAGTTGTAAAGAAAGTTTATGCATAAAAGCTCAAGGCCGTTTCAGTGCACTAACACCAGGAACCAGGCCGGGGGTGCTGGGGGGAGGCT